ACAATGGCTATATACAGGAGCAGAAATACCACAAAGCAAACTTTCTGCACCTCTGGATTGGGAAAAAAGTCCTAAGGAAATAAATTCCGTCGCCTTGTGTGTTTTAGCCATGACATAACCACCAAGAGGCAGTAATTTGTGTGTGTGATCTGAAATAACACAAAAGACTTCTTCCTTTAGCAGCTGAATTATATAATAGTCACTTGCATATCTGAAATGCTACCATTCAGACTCTGCAACCTAGAAGTGTTCTCAGAAGTAGGAAATCCATCTCTGCAATCCATAGGCCATTATAGTCAGTGACTCTCTTCTTCTAGGACATTTTGGAAACACAGCACTTTACACATTGAATTGTATTTGTTCTGTGTATCTGGCCCACCAAACTGAACTTTCTAGAGCAGAGGTTATTTCTTGCTACCACTCTATCCAGTGCTAACTGAAGCACCTGTACAAAATTACACTCAGTGAATGTACATAGAATGGAGGAACAGTGCATATTGATCATCCTAGCCTTCTTAGCACAGTATTTGGTACATCACTGAAGTTCAGCAAATACAAGAACAAAGGTCACCAAGAACCAAGATCACATCTTTCCACCCCTGAATGCCATGTCTAGCACAGTGATTATTTCAGGCAAAAACTAGACCAATATGAGAGCACCTTGTGAAATACCACAGGTTTTCTGGTACTATTCCCTTTACTTTCAAAGTGAAATTATAATCATCACATGCTCACAAAACAAAGCTCACCCTACTGTTTCTGTGCCTTTGCTGTCTCACTACTGTTCCTTTTATCTGTTCTGATCCTAGAGAGGTCAATAGTGCTCTGAGCACATCCAGTTTTCAATCTCCAAGCATTAAAGCCAAGTTATATGCCAGAGCTCATACATTTTAGGCATTGCCAGATGGAGGATCTGCTCTCCATGCAACCTTAGGAATGCTGAGACTAAGCCAGTGAGTCTATTCCACCTGATTTAAAGCAAGAACACAGTAGACTTGCCTATCAGATGTTCCACAGAGAAATAAGAATTTTGTCAGCTAAGCCTTGAGTTCACTCTGCTGAGAGATACTGGAGGTGGAAGGTGTATATGATGATCAAATGAGAGGAGATTGGTCCCCAGAGAGCCATGTCTTCCCCCTTCCTAACCAGGCACCTACAAAATGGGAAGAAGAACCTCATACCAACCTCTCAAACTTTCTTATAGGTAACATAACTTTAGAAATCAATAGGGAATATATTAAATTAATTTCACCCAGTGGTCACAGAGCACTTAGGTTATGGGGCTCTATGCTGTTCTGAGGGCAATTAGATCCAGCTCTTGCTTATCATGAACTCAGTCATGGCCCTACATGAAATGACACCATCTCAAGGATCAGTTCAGTTCAATCTTTAAGCTATGTCTGACACTTTGTGACCCCATGGACTGCAGCACGCCAGGCTTCCCTGTCCATCACTAATTGCTGGAGCTTACTCAAATTCATGTCCATCGTGTCAGTAATGCCATCCAACAGTCTAATCCTCTGTTGTCCCCTTCTCCTCCTTCCTTCAATCTTTCCCAGCATCAGGGTCTTTTCCAATGAGNAAAGTACAAAGTCTGAATTAACCATTATCATTTTTTTTCATTATCCATTATATTTTTAAAAAAACACTAGGAAGAAGATTAGCCAATAATTGCATAAAATCCCCAAATATTTTAGAAAGTCTACATTCATTATGTACATATCATCACTGAGTTTCTGTGGGAAGCTGTAAGTCAAAATCTTTTCTCTGTTGAAGGATTCAGTTTAATACATCTAAGGAAGATGAGTTTTTAAAATGAGTCTATGAATGTGCATTACAGGAAGATGCATTTGTTAAAATATTTGTGTATGAGACTATTTGCTCACCTAAAGTGATAAATTTTCAGAAAAGGTTGGTGTTATTTTCTAACCTGGTGAAGATTAACCCATTGACTATGGCCACCCTTGCCTAGTTCTAGTTAAACTCTGCCATTATAAGAAAAGTATAGATTCTTTACCAATTAGGGAGAGTACTACACAACTTTCACCTTAAGAAAAGTTGTTTTGCAAGTTAAAACGAAGATGTGAATCGGTCAGCTTACCCTTTTTATGTTTATGCCACTACTTACTATTCCAGGCTCCTTTGCATCTAGGTATAGGCATATGACCTAGTTCTGCTCAATAAGAGCAAAATAAGAATTGTTCTGAAGTCCTTGGAACTGTTCTCCAAAATAAAATGAAAACCCCTCTCTTCTTACATGTGAGCACGTAGTACCGAGAGCTACTGTAGACATCTTGCAGCCGTGAGGGGACAGCCAAGGGAATTGAAGGGGCGCCCACCAGATTCTCGGGCATCATAGGAATAATGAAACAACCCTAGGTCCACTGACCTCCCAACTTCTTGTTGAGTAAGCAACAAATGTTACTGGCTTAAGCCAGGGGCTGGCACACTTTTTTCAGTAAAGTGCTACATAGAAAATACACAGGCTTTGCAAGCAGAGTCATGAATGTAGAGAACAAGCTTAAAGTTACCAAGAGACAATGAGGGGTCAGACAGATTGGGAGGTTGGGATTGACGTGTCCACACTGCTCTATATGAAATAGATAACTCGTGAGAACCTCCTGTTCGGCATGGGGAACCCTACTCGGCAATCTTTGGTGACCTAAATGAGAAGGAAATCTAAAAAGAGGGCACATATGTACTCACGTGACTGATTAACTTTGCTCCACAGCAGAAACTGACCACATTGCAAGGCAATTTACTCCAATAAAAATCAATTAATAAACAAATAAAAGACGATTTTCATATGTAAAAAAAGAAAACATATTGGCTTTGCAGACCACACAGTCTCTGTCATAACTACTCAACCATACCTCTCCAACACAAAAGCTGCCATAGATAAAAAGAGTAGAATAATGAGGCATGACTGTAATCCAATAAAACTTATTTATAGGCAACAAAGCTTAAATTTCACTTAACTTTTATGTGTCACAAAATATTATTTCACTTTAATCTTTTCAACCATTTGAAAATGTAAAAGCCTTTCTTGGCTCACAGGTCATACAAAAACAGGCAACATCTTGGCTTAAGCCACGCACGACTGAGTGACTAACACATAGACACACGCACAGAACTCAGGGCACAGATAACAACTGTCTAGAAAGGAATTCAATTCAATTCAGTCACTCAGTCGTGTCCGACTCTTTGCGACCCCATGAACCGCAGCATGCCAGGCCTCCCTGTCCATCACCAACTCCCGGAGTCCACCCGAACCCATGTCCATTGAGTCGGTGAAAGGGTCTTGTGAAGCTATTCAGATGGAGATGTGAATGGCTGTATATTTATATATATGGCTGAGTCTCTTTGCTGTTCCCCTGAAACTATCACAACATTGTTAATCTGCTATACGCCTACACAAAATTAAAAGCTTGGGGGAAAAGGATATGAATGGCTGCATGCCTGCTCAGTCGCTGTCACGTCCGTCTCTGCAACCCCGTCAACTGTAGCCTGCCAGGCTCCTCTGACCATGGGATTATCCAGGCAAGAACACTGGAGCAGGTTGCCATTTCCTCCTCCAGGGGACCTTCCTGACCCAGGGATCAAACCCTCCTCTTCTGCTTCTCCTGCGTTGGGAGGCAGATTCTTTACCACTGAGCCACCTGGGAAGCCCATGTGAATGATTAATCATAGCTTTATTATATTTCACCTTCCACAGACCTTTCCATTCTAACAATGTCCTACTTCCATGAAACAAAACTCCTACCGTGGAATTTGAGGCATTGGATTCAGGTTAATAAAGGGGGAGAAACTAAAATTAAGTATTTTTTTTTAAATATACAACTTTAATAGGGTTGATACTTGAGAACATAAATTCCTAAAAATCACCTTTATTTTTTTTCCATTTAAAAAAATCAGAGAGAAAAACTTTCTGCTATGATAGAATTATATATACAGTTGTCAAGAGCTGATAAGATGATTACTGCTAAGTGAACTTTGACAAACTTAATTGGTCAAGACTATTCTTACTGGTTTGAAAAGCCATCTATAACAGTATACGAAAGGATGAGAGAGATGTGCTGAGTGCAGATGTCACAGAGATGGGAGATTAAATAATAGTTTCACTTACTAGAAAACTTGAAATAGTTATATGTTAGTAATGTTTTTTTTCAGTTTTTAACATCTTTGAAAGTGTTATTTTGTATTGGGCTTTAGGTGATTAGCTAACAATGTTGTAATAGTTTCAGGTGGACAGTGAAGGGACTCAGCCATACGTATACATGTATCCATTCTTCCCCAAATGCCCCTTCCATCCAGGCTGCCACATAACATTGAGCAGAGTTCCATGTGCTATACAGTAACCTTTGTTGATTACCCATTTTAAATATAGCAGTGGGTACATGCCCATCCCAACTCCCTGTGCACGCTAAGTCATTTCAGTCGAGTCCGACCCTTTGGGACCCTATGGACGACAGCCTACCAGGCTCCTCTATCCATCGGATTCTCCAGGCAAGAATACTGGCGTGGGGTGCCATTTCCTTCTCCCCCACACTCCTTAACTAGACCTAAAATGAAGTATTGATAGAAAAGCCTTCCAGGGATTCCCACAAGAGCACATTGACAGAGGGAAAGAATAAAACATAAACTTCTTTCTCCCAGGACCACAATCTTTCCACACACCTCAGCATGCTAACACTGAGAGGTAAAGTAAACAAACCCAGGCTTCATAGGTAGAAGGTGACGGAGTGGGAATTCAATCCAGGCGATCCCTCCCTGAAGCCTATGCCCTGTACACTATAGAACATGAAGAAAAATAGCAACGCAGCTCAATTTTCAACTTTCTCCAAAATACAGAGGGCTATGAAAGGCATCCAATTTATTTTATGGAATATAAAGCCCTCACCTAAAATACAAAAAAGTCATGACTAGGTGAAGTTTCGCTCTGTTCCTCATAGTTCACTAAAATCAAACTTGTTTAGTCAGCATATGCGTGCTCAGTTTTCTAAGGTTTTCATTGTTACTCCACCCCTGAGTTAACTTTCTTGCCCCACAGCCTCTTCAAGGCGATTTTCATCTCTGCATTTCTGAGTGTGTAGATGATGGGGTTCAGCATGGGGGTGACCACCGTGTAGAACACGGCCACCAGCTTGTCCTCAGTGAAGGTGGAGGCGGGCCGCATGTAGAGGAAGATGGCGGGTCCAAAGAACAAGGTGACCACCGTGAGGTGAGAGGCGCAGGTGGAGAGGGCTTTGCGTCTGCCCTCTGCTGAATGGTTCCTCAAGCTGAGCAGGATGACAATATAGGAGGACACCAAGAGGAGGAAAGAAAAGATGGAGAATAATCCACTGTTGGCCAACACAACGACCCCCTCCACAGAGGTGTCAGTGCAGGCAAGCTTGAACAAGGGATGGAGGTCACAGAAGTAGTGGTCAATCACGTTGGGACCACAGAAGGGTAACTGGAGAGTGACAACGATCTGAACCATGGAGTGAAGAAAGCCCCCCAGCCAGGAAGCAGCCAGCAGACGGTGGCACACAGGCCGGCTCACGACGGTTGTGTAGTGCAAGGGCTTGCAGATGGCCACGTAGCGGTCATAGGCCATCACCGTGAGCAGGAAGATCTCAGCAACTCCAAACAAGTGAAAGAAGAATATCTGAGCCACACAGCCCTCCAGGGAGATGGTCTTAATCTCGGAAAGTAAGTCTGTGATGAATTTGGGGACAACAGTGGAGGAGTAGCTGATCTCCACCAGCGACAGGTGGCTAAGGAAGAAGTACATGGGGGCACGCAGGCTCTTACTGACTCTAACCGTCAGGACGATGAGGCCGTTGCCCACCACCGTGGCCAAGTACACGGGCAGAAACACCACAAAGCACGCTCTCTGCACCTCTGGGTCCTGGAAAAGACCGGCGATAATTAACTCAGTCACGTTATTGGTCCTCGCCATGGAGTTGATTCATATGTACTGGACCAGAGGTAATCAGAAATCTGCAATAAAATAAACACCAATTATAACAAATTCACCTCCTTTATAGCAAATTGGACAGTGTAAATCAGTTTACAGCAAAAATTTATCATGAACTCATTTATTTAGGCAATATGTGCTCATTGAGCATTAAATATGACCAATCTAACAATAGTTTATGTATTAGAAAATGAGGGCTCAGAGAAATGGTTATTTACTCAGGATCACACAGAAAATAGCCAACTGTAGGACTCAGAATCAGGTTGAATTCATAGGGTTTCTTCTAACCCAACAGAAGATATTCTGAATTTAGGGAGTCATTCAAGTCCAGCTCTTATATTTTTACCATCTTCATTGCATTTTGATGGATCAAATTTACTGGGAAATCCCCATGACACACTACTACTCCTAAATTCCAAATTCCTTCTATCCCTCATCTTTTCTTCAGGGAATCATCCTCCCATTGTTAATCCTTCCCTTTCCAAAAGGCCTTCTGTATTGTTTTCTTCACTCCTTTCTAGCCCTCAACTCACTCAGGTCAGAGTCCTTCACCAGCCCTGCAGCTTCAATAACTGTGTTTACATAACAAGCGCTCAAACACTTTGTAGAGAATTCCACTTAGGAGTTTGTCTCCATCATTTCACTATCACTTTCACAACTCTTGGCACACAGCTCAGACAACTCACAGATCCTGAACTCGCAGAGCTTCTCCTCTGAGAGCACTATGGTTAGTGACCAGACTGCCTGTACCCCATTCCCAGTTGGTGGCCAGCAGCAAAGTATATGATACCAAGATAAAGATTTCTCTGTGAGTTATTTCCCTGAGCAGATACTTAACTGAGCACCTTTTATGCATCTATACACCCTCAGAGTGGGCTTCCCAGGTGGTACTGTAATAAAGAATCCACCTGCCAAAACAAGAGACTCAAGAGACATGGGTTTGATCCCTGGATCTCAAAGATCCCCTGGAGTAGGAAATGGCAACCCACTTCAGTATTCTTGCCTGGAAAATTCCATGGACAGAGGAGCCTGACGGTCTACAGTTCATTGGGTCTCAAAGAGTAAGACACTACTTACTGACATAAGTAAGTGAGTGATGGAGCATGCACACACACACACACACACACATACTCTCAGAGAATACAAAAGAAATACAGATCACAACATCTGATTCAAAACAATACTCTCTAGATTAAGGCACCATATTAGGCATATTTTCACCACATAGGATCCATGAAAAATAAGGAAGAAACAGTATGAAGACCTTGACTCTCTGCTGTAAATTGTACCCATTGCTTTTCCCCTTGTCTCTGGTTTCACACTGAAATTTTCAAGAAATATTCTTTTGGAAAAGTAAAACTGCACCTGATCAATAAGCACTAGAACCAACAGAGAAAACAGAAGTCAGTGATGTGGACAGAGGGAAACAGAGTCATAGGTGTCAGAATTCCTCCCATCAGGATGTATGCTGAACTTCAGACTTTCCCAAGAGCACATTACAAGTGTTCTCACACACACCCACAGCACCAAGAATAACCACAGGAGGAGATGAATATGCCAATTGGCTCAACAGTAGTCATCATTTCATTATGTATATGACCATCAAATACCAAGTTATAAATATGAAATACACACAGTGTTATTTTTAAAATTTTAGGATTATGTAAAGTCACCAAACCTGAAGATTAAAAAAAAAAATGAGACACTAGTGTTCTAGAACAAGAATAATAGTAGAGAGAAAGATCATGGCAGAAAGTATCCATGACCCTTGACTTTTCCATTCCTGATTCAGTCCCTGTGTACCTGGGTACCAGAGATGCCCCTTATTCCTCAAATAAATTCTCCTCTCTGCTTAAGCTAGTTTAATGGGCTTCTGTTTCTTGCAAGCAAAACCTAATACATAAACCTAGGAAATGAATAAACAACTAAACAAATACATACATAAATCTGAACATCACTAACACAATAAAAAATTAAAATACAATTACTAGTTAAAAACACAACTCAAAAATATTCCTTTTATGACAGTCAAGAAAAAAAATAAGTACTTTGAAATGTAATATAGTTATGCAGAGAAAACCATAAAACTACTACAAGAAAATACGTATGTCAAATGGAAAACATATCCATCTCCCCAAATTCTTACAAATTACATTTAAATAATAAAAGTTAACATAATAATTTTGACTATTCCTAACTTTATATACAAATTTAGGCAACCTCAATTAAAACCCAATGAAATTTTTCTTTGTCATTTATATGAGTACTCTAAACTTCTTCGCAGGGGTAAAAAAAGGGGGGGGGCACTCAGTCACCTATGAAAACAAAAAGAAATTGCCTAGTCAAGAGACAGTTTCCTGGAAGATATTGATGCATGCAGTATAGAATCGACATTGGTACTCATGACCAAATGCAAGCAATATTGATAAATTCATCATAGCATGGTGCCCTTTCCATTGGTAGCAGTGTTGTGGACACAAGGCTCTCAGAAGCATTAGGAATACGTGGCAGCATCACACCTTGGAAAATCCAGTCACTGAATGGTTAAAAGGTAAGATTGTGAGACATCACAAAAATCTCCTTCTACCACATCCTCACTCATGAACAGAAGGAAAAGATTGGGACAGTGATAGATTGAAGCTGGTAAGACTAAGCTCTGGAATAACAGGAGACTTACAAGCAAGTGTGATCCAGAAGAGACTGTGATGACACCATCAGCCTCCAAGATGCCCAGGCTTGTAGCTTTGATGTCAAATGTGATTCATGCCTCTCATTCCCATATTCAGTCAGTCACCACAATCCATTAACTTCATCTTTAATCATCTCTCCTATGTGCACTTTCTCTCCAACCTTGCTGCCCCCACCTTCACACCTGCTGTCAGCTGATGCCTAAGTCAGCAAAGCCTCTTAGTCTCTACAGCCTCCTATTCCATCCATCCTGCAGACTACAGCCAGAAAATTGTTTCCCAGACCCTTCCTTCCTCAGATCCTCCACTGCTTGGGAATAACCAGGGAAAACCCTGGATGCCTCTGGCTCACTTTCAAAGTCTTTCACACACTGAGCCATCTCAACCATCACCTTCTTAGCCAACTAAACTTGAACTCACCCCTATTCAACTCAGGGTCCTCTCCTCCTCCCACAAGTCCACAATACTCATTCCCACCACAGAGCCCACTTCATTAGAAATGCCCTCTCCTGTCCCTTTCAACCCTATCCACCTTCTAACCCTAATTCCAGTCCTGTGCATTCAAGGAATCTTGTGATTAATGTGTGTGTGTACGCTCAGTCGTTCAGTCATGTCCGACTCTTTGTGACCTCATGGACTGTAGCCTTCCAGATTCCTTTGTCCATGGGGTTTTCCAGGTAAGAATACTGCAACGAGTTGTCATGCCCTCCTCCAAGGGATCTTCCCAACCTAGGGATCAAAGCCCAGTCTCTGCACCTCCTGCATTGGCAGGCAGATTCTTTACCACTGAGCCACTGGGATGCCCTCTCGTGATTAACACTCCAACTCATATGTATCTTCTCTGAGCACTGAAAGGATACTTTGGTGATTTTTCTTAAATGCATAGCAAATCAGGCTACTACTCTACCTAAAATATATCAACACCTCCGCATTGCCTACAGCACAAATTCCAATATGCTTAGCATGAATTCCAGGTTCTTCTTGAACTGGCCATTGCCTATTTTTGCAACTGTCATCCCCAAAATGAACATTATGCAGCTATTTCCTAATGCAAAATGTTCTTTCTCCCTTCACTGTGTTTAGTATTCCCTTCTTTTTAGATTGCAGGAAGAATCTGATTACCATAGAAATAATATAGTCCTACCTTTGCACACTTACAGTAAGCAGTTCATTGTACTGCTTTTCTTTAGCAATTAATAGATTCTTTATAATTATAAACTGTTTCTTTATCTCTACCAAGAAATACATATCCTAGTATTCAAATTATCTGTTTAATGTTTTTATTATATTTTTATATTAATTGCACTTTGGTTGACAATAATAGTATTTCAATGGCATCATATGTCACAGTTTTTTTTTTTAGTTGTAATTAACATAGAATATTACATTGGCTTTTGGAATACAATATAGTGACTCAATATACAATAAGACCAGTTGCCATCAGTCAGTATACAAAGTTGTCACAATATTACTGATTATATTCCTTATGTACACATTACATGCCTATACCTTATTTATTTTGTAGCTAGAAGTTTGTACCTCCTAATCCCTTTCACCTATTTCATCCTTCCCCCAACACCCTTCCCCTCTGGCAACCAACACTTTGTTCTCTGCATCTACTAGTCTGTTTTTGTTTGGGCTTTTTATTTTATATACATTAATTAATTCAATTTCCAGAACAAACCTGTGATGTGCATATTTTTATCACCCCATTTTTCACATATGAGGGGAATAAAAAGAAGCACAGGTAAATGAATTCACTGACCTAAGTTTACACAGCAGTGGAGCCAGGATTTCAACCCAAGCAATTTAAGTCCAGATGGTATGTTCTTTAATCACTACCCTATACAATTTCTAGGCACATAAATACATACTGAAGAGTTAAAATTAAACATTCTCTTCTATAAGAAATCCAATGTATATTGATTCCCCAGCACAAATATTTCTTGTATGAGTATGAACTCAATGTTTTTTGATTCACTAGAGAAACTAACAACAATATTCTAGGGCCAATCTGAGAGATCACTCAGAGATGAGAGAGAAATCAAGGAGGATCCAGTTTTTCCAGTCTTTATCCCTAGTAGAAGGAATAACTGGTAACTTTGAAATCTACGTTTTCCTTTTCTGTCATCTTTGCCTTTCAGTATCTATTCCTGTCTCTGCTACCCACCCCTCAGTCACCTCCACCATCTCTCCCACTGAGCTGGTAAAACATACCTCCTCTCTCAACACAATGTTGCCTCACCTAGAAGGATGAGGGGTGGGGGAGTGAACAACATATAAAAGCCCAAATCAGTCTTTGAACACATAGACTCTACATTAGGTAAACTGCTAGACTCTGGACCAGAGCATAATGATAGAATGGAGACAATGCCCGAAGAAAATACAATAGAAATCTTCATGTGCCAATGGGGCTGATCTCAGAGTGAGGTAATGGAAGCTCCATCCCAATCACGGTTTCCCACTTTGTAATTCCCAAATGGTAACTCACAAAATTCCAAAATTATAAAGGACTTGAAATTTATCAAATTTATGTTTTGTATTATTTACCACAATAAAAATAAATTAAATAAATTGAATTCATTACCCCCACCAAAAAAAAAGCAAATACTTTAAACCCAACCGGCTCATTTTGAGTAAGCTCTGGGAGTTAGTGATGGACAGGGAGGCCTGGCATGCTGCAGTCCCTGGGGTCACAAAGAGTCGGACACAACTGAGCTGAACTGAGCTCATTTAGCAAATGAACACAGAGGCTTTAAGAGAGAAACTGACTCACCCAACATCCTATGGCTGTTTAGAGACTGCACTTCCAGGCATATCAACTACCTTTAAGTCAAAATAGCTGCTGTGGTTAGTTCTATCTCAGAGCAAAGAATTGAGTCAGATGGATCTCCAGTGCTCCTGAGTGCCCCCAAGTCCGCATGAAGTTGGCCGCTCTGCTAGAAATGGTCATTACTCAAGGAGGTGATCTGGTTTGGAGAAACTAGAACAGGATAGAGAAGTGAAATCCCCCCTTGGGATCCTAAACCCTGACAAGAGAGGTGCCTTAGCTAATATCACCATCTCAGTGGATTTCTCACTCAAGTCCCCCCTACACAAATTTCAGTTCACACCCAGCTCAGCCACTCTGACTAGAGCTGGAAACATTTAGAGACCTTTTACTCTAACCTCTTCTGTTTATAGATGAGGTAAATGAGACGGAGAGAGGGTAATTGGATTCCCAAGCTGCACACCAGTTATTTCCCAGGTTACTAATTCAGAAATCAGTGCCCTTTCTGCACTGAGGACTGGACGGTGGTTGTTACTGCTACTCGAGGATCAAACCTTGCCCTGGAGAAAAGCACCAGTGTCCCTGGGAGCTTTTAGAACACAAAGCAGATGATGTCTAAGATGAATCACCAAAAAAAGGAAAATTCAGGGAATCTGGATTAGAGTTGATTTATAATAGCTAGGAAATAAACACATGCCACAGAAAGCAGAAAAGAGGTTTTAAGACCTTGGTTTTCATGAAGAAAACTTACACGCCCACCGAAACTCCAATGGTTGTAATTAGTTCTTTGCATAAGTTAAGATCCTTTAAATAAATTAATTCACACACTCTAGTCAAGGGAACAACTTCCCCATGGAATGTCTTTTCTCTCGGGTGAAACTTCACCAACTAACCTTGACTTAGCAGAGATTCAAAGTCTTTCCAGTTAGCTTAGGGAGATGTCCATAAAGTTCGTACCAAAAACAAAGTAATAAAAGAGAAAAGCTGAAGGTAAGACATCAAGGGAATACTTTTCCAGGCTGAACTGCCAAGAATGAGGACAATTGGATAGAGGAACAGTGAGGACCAGACAGGGAACCGGGACAGCGGGGCCCCAGCTGAGGTTCAGTAACTGATTCACTTCTCTCTCAACCAGGCCATTTCCCCTTCAACCTCTCCCTCTCCCTCGCTTCCACTTCTAAACAAAATGACAGGATTGGGCTAGATCATCCCACTGCACCTCCCAATGCTAGCACGTCTATGTAAGCCACTTAGACTTCCGGTGCCTCAGCCTCTCCAGTGACAGTGATAATGATGTAATCTAGTAAGGATTCCCTCAGCAAGAGATGCCACTCATCCATCCATTCATTCATGCGTTTCTTCAAGAAGTAGTACTGTGTCCTTTAACGTGTCAAGCGTGGGTGCTAAAGATTTGGCCATGAGGAAACAAAGTCCCTAACTCAAAGCAGTCATATCTGTCATAGTCCCAGCAAGGGGAGGTGGGAAATATGAGGAAACCAATTAGGTGATTATCAATTGCAATAATCCCCCCCAAAGGATGCTTGTCTTTATCAGGATGGTAGCACTGAAGGTTTTAGGAAGTGGTCAGATTCTGGACATCCTAAAGATAGAACAAAGAAGATTTGATGAGGTTTTGACGAGAGGAGAGAGACAATTCAAGGACACCTGAAAGGTAGATTTGAGTGAGGAAAATGGAGTTACCATTATTGAGATTTGGAGTCACTGTAAGAAATGCATGGAAGCAGATTCAGAGTGTGGATCCGGACATGTTCAGCAGAGTAGAGAAGAATGAGTCCAGGATGGTGGTTAGAGAAAGCAGCATCTAGAAGGTAAATAAAGAAAAAGCCCTTGAAAAGAGACAAAGGGGAAAAAAACCTGCAGCTAGGAATAAAATCCTTCAGTGGGAAAAACCTACCCACTACCCAATGCCTCTGGCAACCACCAATCTGTTTTCTCTATCTATGAATTCAGTTCTTTGGTTGGTTGGTTGGTTCATTTTTAGATTCCACACATAAATGAGATCATATGATATTTGTCATCCTGTCTGATTTATTTCATGTAGCATAATATCCTTTAGGTCCATCCATATTATTACAAATGGCAAGATTTCCTTCCTTTTTACGGCTGAATAATATCCCATTGTATACATCTACCACATTTTCTTTATCCACTCACCCATCGACAGACACTTAAGTAACTTCTATCTCTTAGCTCTTGTGAATAATTCTGCAATGAACATTGAGGTGTATGTATATTTTTGAGTTAGCGTTTGGTTTCCTTCAGATAAATATCCAGAAATGAAATTGCTGGATCATAAGGTAGCTTTGTTTTTAATTTTTTGAGGAACCTCTATACTATTTTCCATAGCGGCAGTAACAATTTACCACCAACGGTGCACAAGTGTTCCCTTGTCTTCACATTCTTACCGATGTTGTTTTCCTTGTCATTTTTTTTTATAAAATGTGTGAGGGATATCTCATGATAATTTTGATTGGCATTTCCTTGATAATTAGTTATGTCAAGCAACCCTTCATGTACCTATTGACCATTTGTATGTTTTCTTTTGGGTGGAAAAATGTGTAATCAGATCATCTATCCATTTTTAATCTAATTGCTTCAGGGTTTGCTACTGAGCCGTATGAATTCTTTTTTTTAAATTCTTGATATATTTTGGAATTAATGCCTTATCAGATATATGATCTGCAAACATTTTCTCTCATTCACTGGTTGCCTTTTTATTTTGTTTATGGTTTCCTTTGATGCGCAGAGGGTTTCTAGTTTGAAATCCACTTTGAGTTAATTTTTGTGTATGGTATAAGAGTCATCTAGTTCCATAAATGTTAGGCAGAATCTACCAGTGAGGTCACCTGGTCCTGGACTTTTGTTTGTTTGGGGGAGTTCTTGATCACAAACTTAGCCTTCCAACTAGAAATCTGTCTGTTCAGGTTTCTTGTTTCTTCCCAATTCAGTCTGTTAGGTTGTATATTTCTTAGAATTTATTCATTTCTTCTAGATTATCCAGTTTGTTAGCATATAATTGTTTATAGTAGTCTATTACGATCCAATTAGTTAATACCACAGAATGTGGTAATGAGGTAATAGCTCCTCTTTGATTTCTTTTATTTATGTGAGCCCTATTTCTTCTTCTTGGTGAGTCTAGCTAAAGAATTTGTGGTTTTGTTTATCTTTTGAGAAAAGAAACAGCTCTTAGTTTCATTGATGTTTTCTATTCCCCTCTTAGTCTCTAGTCATTTATTTCTGCTCTTTCTTATTTCATTCCTTCTACTAATTCTGGGTGTCATTCGTTCTTCTTCTAGTTTCTTTAGGTATAGGATTAGGTTTTCTATTTGAGATCTTTCTGTTTCTTGATGTAGGTATCTATTGTTATGAACATCCCTCTTAGAATTCCTTTTGTTGCATCACACGGGTTTTGAAATTACAAAACAAACTGTATACACATATAACAGAATGCCTCAGACAAAATGCCAATCCTTACATCCATTCTCCCTTTCTTCTTTAGGAGAAGAACACAATAAAACCTTGGTATTTTTTAACAGAACACAATTTCACATAGAAAAAAAAAAGATTATACATTCTAGCCTCCCTTGTAATTAAGGGTGTCCATGTGTCATATTTCTACTGAACAAAATGAAAGCAAAAGTGTTTGCTGGCACTTTTGAAACAGCTCCTAAATGGAAAGATATCAGCTTATCCTCCCCTATTCCCCTTTATGGTCTTCTAAAATACACATTTAATACCAGAGCTGTACTATCTAATATCACATCCACAAGCCACATTTAGCTTTTTCAATTAAACTGTTAAAAACTAAATAAAATTTAAAATTCAGTTCTTTGGTCTCACTAACCACATCTCTACAGCTCAGCAACCACTACCATGCTGGACCTCACAGATACAGAGCATCACCTGCGTAACATGTATTCTTCTGGACAGCAGAAATAGAAGCTCTTTAAGGTCATGAGGTTGAGTCTACAAGATGGCTGACTCGGCATTTCTAATAGTATTTTTGGAACTCCCAACAATGTTGGGCTTTTACTTCTGTATTTCTGTAGTTCTCTCTCATTAGGTTGCCATTTTTCTATTATATGCAGTCAAACCTATACCTAAAATATATATAAATAATAAATAGGAAAAGAATACAAAATTGTATATGCAAAGTAATTGGCAGCCCTCTACAAATTTGTCCTAAATAAAATTCTCTATTTATTATCTAAAAAAAATACACTTGGGGGCTTTTTTTTCTTTCTTGATGTTGCTGCAGAATCAAAACTGAGAATTAGCTACATGGTCCCCAATGCTAAGTGGTATAATTGCAGACTGTTACTTCTTCTGTGAATTTAGTAAGCCTTTTCTAAATGTGCCAACAGTCGGCTCTTACACAACTGAAGAGATGCTTCCCCATGTCTCCTATGATTTTTCCAGTGAGATCAAAATGAAGGGAATAATTGGCCCTCAATAGACTTACCCTCAGTAGGTAAGGTAGTCCCCTAGAAAATTGACAATCCAGTTAGAGAAGATATTATCTGTACATGAGTATCCAATGACTCAGAGTGTATTGATGATCTTTCTGTAGCTCTCAGTGAGGAAACCAAAGATATACGAGTAAGAGGCTTCTTTCACAGTCTACATCCTGAAGTCCTAGTCTGCTACAGTACAATCAAGGCATCAAGAGAAAGGGAGGGTAGCCCCACTGACTTTGGTTCTGAAACAAATGCCTTAAAATATACATTAACAAAATATAAATGTATTCAGCATAAAAGATAGTGAGGCCATGCAGTAGTTAATATTTATTTAACAAATATTTATTGAACACCTTCAATGTGCAAGGTACCGTGCTATATACTCAAAAGTGATTAAACAACAGAGAACATTTAGCCCAAAGAAGCTGTAAAACAAACGCATTTAATAGCTCTCAAATGCCTAAAACTTTTTTAGGATGAAATCAAAAGACTACTTGAGTAGATTCCCAGGAAAGAAGTCCAATTTGTGAATAGTCATGTAGTCATCAAACAAATAAAATGACCAGAACGAATTATAAAAACAATTATGATAGCCAATATTTACTGAGTCTATAGTATAAATCTATACCATGTTCTTTTCCAAAACTTTGATGTATACTGGAGACTTCCCTGGTGGTCCAGTGGTTAAGAATCCACCGGCCAGTGCAGGGGACACAGGTTCGATCCCTGGTCCAGGAAGATTCCACATGCCAAGGAGCAACTAAACCCATGCGCCGCCACTACCAAGCCCACATGCTGCAACTATTGAAGCCTGGATGCTCTAGAGCCCATGGTCTGCAAGAAGAGAAGCCGCCACAATGAGAAGCCCAAACACCACAACCAGAGAAAGCCCAGGGGCAGCAACAAAGGCACATCACAGCCAAAAATAAACAGATAAACAGGGACAGAGGGGGTGTGTGTGTGTAATCAAGCATGCTTTGTTGCATGGCAGAAGCCAACACAATATTGCAGAATTTTTTTAATTTAAAATTTTTAAATGGGGGAAAAAATAAATTAATTTAATGTATATTAACTATTCTAATATTCAGAATACTTCTCAAGTTCCTATCATTGTTAATATTCTCGTATTTATGAAAAACAGGTGGTGGTGAAGTAGTGCTTGGATAATGAGTTATGAGAGAGGGGCACTTGGAAGAGCCTGATGGGTTTCAGAGCCTGAGCTCTTCCAATTTTAACAGGAAAAGCTAGGCACCCACCATGAGACATGCCCATTAAAAATTCCTTAATGGATCTGGGGTTTGTTTGCTAGGTGTTGAAAATGTTCTGCAATTAATGGTGATGGTTGCAAAATGTACTAAAAATGACTGAATTGTACAATTTAAAATGGTCAAATTGGCAAAACTTATGTTCCATAAATTTTCTCAATATTGTGTAAATAATAAATGTATACAACTGTTACTTAAAACTATTGATGTTCAGTCATTAAGTTATGTCTGACTAGTTGTGACTTCAAGGACTATAGCCTGCCAGGCTCTTCTGTCTCTGGGATTTCCCAGGCAAGAATACTGGAGTGGGCTGCCATCCTCCTCCAGGGGATCTTCTTGACCCAGGATCAAACCTGCGTCTCAGGTCTCAGGCATCGGCAGGCATGTTCTTTACCACTGAGACACTGGGGAAGCCCACATATGCAGGGAGCCAGCCTGCTCAAGGCCCAAAAAGACCCTGGGAAAGCCTTGAAAGAGGCTGTTCCCTGTCCCGCCACGCCATGATAAAGTAGTAAAACATTTGCTGGGCCTCCTTTGTTCTTCCTTGAGAAAAACGTAGTAGTGACCTTCACTTAGTAGTTTATCTTGGAATGCCAAAAACAAGATGTAAGCTTCTGCAATCACTTAAGACAAAAAATTGTATTGATGTAACAAACACCAGATGGCATTTTTTATGAACTATGTTTTCTGCTTGTACTGGTATAAAGGTAGCTGCCTTACTCAATAAAACTGCTGACTTGCCTAAAGAGCATTTCAGTCCTCTCGACCCCATTCTTTACTTTCAGCTCCTTTTTCTCAGGCTTCCATGTTGCTGCGGTCTAGACCTGTTCACATTGCCGGCTGGTACCGGCACACATAAAACTATGAAATAAACGTAAAAGAAAACTCTAAAAAAAATCTGCAAAATACAGTCTAGAAAGGATTGCTCATGGGTCTAAATGGTTTGTTTGTTTTTTTCAATAAGCACTGACAAAGCACCAGCTAACACATGATACTTAGAGTTGCAAAGCACTATAGTGAATAGCCCTGTCCCTGAGAACTTAGTCTAGTCAGAGAGAAAAACATATAAAATAATACCTCCAAAGTGATAAGGACAATGATAAAATTATGTAAAAATAACCAAGGCTAGAAGACAAAGTTCAACCCAAGGAGGAGCAAGGTAAGAAAATTCATAGGAAAGTGATTTTAACCTAGGTCTTAAAGGATATATAGGAGTTTGTCACATGGAAACGTGTGGCAAAGTCATTCCAGAAAGAAGTGGTATTTTCTCAGGGATTATGAATGGTCGTCCATGTCAATAATTAGTGAGGATGACAAGCAAGTGAGGAAGATTTCCTGGTACCTTTAAAATCACTGTTCATCTGCATGCCTAACCCGCTTCTGAGGACAAAGGGAAAAACCTTTAAGGCCTATAACATAATATGATGGATGCTCCATCCCTCTGCAAGGAAGTTGCATGCATTACTTCCCCTGATCCACAAGAAGAGTTGGAAGGATGGAGGGAAATGCAAGAAAATCCATGTTATTCCAAAGCCAATAGAAACAAATTGTATTATATTCTCTCTATATTCACAATGATAAGAGTCAACTGAGTTAAAGGAGTTTCTGAGAGATGAACCAATAATGCAAACACAAACCCTCTTATCCTGCTCCACCAAGAAACACTAATAGGCCTGACAAGAAATGGACTTGACTGATCAGTTAGAATCAAGGACAGAGTGTGGAGCAGAAGCATGCCTGGACATTATTTCCCTCTCCTTCATTCTTCAACTTAGGCCCAAGATGTTTTTTATATTCTGTATTGATTTACATCTGTATAAAGCTAAAAGTGATATTTTTTGTTAAAATGTGGGTCTTGATCTTTCCCTACTGGCAGCCAGGATCTATGCCACGTTTGATCATCTTTAAAATTTTGGATGCAGGACATTACGAGAAGAGATTTAAGGACTATCTTTTGTGTCAACATATCACAAGAACTGAAACTGCTCCAGGGTCTTTTCTAGTACTTGTGCTCAAAAAGTCTGTGGTACAGGATGCTAAAACAAGCGGAAGAATAGAAAAATCCCTGGGTGCAATTTTCAAAGGCACAATTGTCCACGCTGAAAGAGTAGATCGGATTGGTACCCTCCTCCCCAAATATCCCATGGTAACTCCTTGGTTTCCTTTCTAATGAAATATGGGTTGTTATCAGCAGGGAGGTTAAACAAAAAGGGCAGCATGAAGAAGAAATGAAGAAAAAGGCAAAAAAAGGAAGGTGGAAGGGAATGTAGGAAGGGGGTGACAGAATCACTTTAACATACAGAGTATTTGTCCAAGAGTTCTCCTTTGCATTCATACTTAATTTGAGTTTCATTGTTAACCAGTCCTGTGAAACTACTGAATACCACAGACCCTAAGACCAACAAGACTATCTGACCTCAGTCCTTGGAACGTGATACTAGGATACTACAAAGTCTTTGGTTACTAAGGAGAATCATGGTGAAGTAATGTTAAGTCCTTGCATTTGTTTCTGACATTCCTGTATGTCCTACTAAAATTAAAATCCATTTCAAGATAATAATCAGGCACACTTTTATTAATCACTTTCCCATTTTTGCTCCATCCCTGAGTTCTCCTTTTTGCCCCACAACCTCCTCATGGCGATTTTCATCTCTGCATTTCTGAGTGTGTAGATGATGGGGTTCAGCATGGGGGTGACCACCGTGTAGAACACGGCCACCAGCTTGTCCTCAGTGAAGGTGGAGGCGGGCCGCATGTAGAGGAAGATGGCGGGTCCAAAGAACAAGGTGACCACCGTGAGGTGAGAGGCGCAGGTGGAGAGGGCTTTGCGTCTGCCCTCTGCTGAATGGTTCCTCAAGCTGACCAGGATGACAATATAGGAGGACACCAAGAGGAGGAAAGAAAAGATGGAGAATAATCCACTGTTGGCCAACACAACGACCCCCTCCACAGAGGTGTCAGTGCAGGCAAGCTTGAACAAGGGATGGAGGTCACAGAAGTAGTGGTCAATCACGTTGGGACCGCAGAAGGGTAACTGGAGAGTGACAATGATCTGAACCATGGAGTGAAGAAAGCCCCCCAGCCAGGAAGCAGCCAGCAGACGGTGGCACACAGGCCGGCTCACGACGGTTGTGTAGTGCAAGGGCTTGCAGATGGCCACGTAGCGGTCATAGGCCATCACCGTGAGCAGGAAGATCTCAGCAACTCCAAACAAGTGAAAGAAGAATATCTGAGCCACACAGCCCTCCAGGGAGATGGTCTTAATCTCGGAAAGTAAGTCTGTGATGAATTTGGGGACAACAGTGGAGGAGTAGCTGATCTCCACCAGCGACAGGTGGCTAAGGAAGAAGTACATGGGGGCACGCAGGCTCTTCCTGACTCTAACCGTCAGGACGATGAGGCCGTTGCCCACCACCGTGGCCAAGTACACGGGCAGAAACACCACAAAGCACGCTCTCTGCACCTCTGGGTCCTGGAAAAGACCGGCGATAATTAACTCAGTCACGTTATTGGTCCTCNCCATGGGATTCTCCAGGCAAAGATACTGGAGTGGGTTGTCATGCCCTCCTCCAGGGGAACTTCCCAACCCAGGAATCAAATCCACATTTCTTATATCTCCCTGTATTGGCAAGCAGATTCTTTACCACTAGTGCCACCTGGGGCTTTCCTGGTGGCTCGGACAGTAAGGAATCCACCTGCAATACAGGAGACCCAAGGTTGATCACTGGATGGGGAAGATCCCCTGGAGGAGGAAATGGCTACCCACTCCAGAATTCTTGCCTGGAGAATTCCATGGACAGAGGAGCCTGGTGGGCTACAGTCCACGGGGTCGCAAAGAGTAGGACAGGTTGGTAGCCAGCAGCAGAGTGTATGATGACTAGAGTGAAGATTGCTCCACGAGTTACTCCTCGGGAGAAGATACTCACTGACACCTCTTACACATCCATACAGTCCCAGACCAGACTAAAGAAATACAGATTATGATACACCCCTCACGCTAACAATGCCACATGGAGGAAGCTACAGAGGATAACCACTCCTTGCCCCATCCTGCCACAAGGGAGGTGGAGCGCATTGGGTAGGAGAAATTAGAAATGCAATGATGGGCCCTTTCTCTCTTCCTGTGAGATGCTGTAGAGAGCACAGTACCTATACTGCCCCAGGGGAACCTCTGTCCCTATGGGGTAGAGACAGTTACTGTGTGTGCTCACTCAGTCGTGTCCAACTCTTTGCAACCCCATGAACTGTAGCCCACCAGGCTCCTCTGTTCATGGGATTCTCCAGGAAAGAATACTTTAATGGGTTGTCATTTCCTACTCCAGGGGATCTTCCTGACCCAGGGATTGAACCTGCATCTCTTGCATCTCCTGCATTGGCAGACAGATTCTTTACCACTTGAGCCACCTGGGAATTCCAGGCTACTCTGTAGAGCAGACCCAATGCTGCCATGGCTGGGTGTGGGCTTTTACCTAAATCTAGAGCTCAGTTTGAGAAAGGCTACTTGGCACCAAATTTTAAACCTCAGTCTCTGACATCACCTTTTCTAATAGCAACGGTAACATTTTTCCCAAATTCCTTCTTCCTTTGCCTTGTTTCTGAATTAGTTGAACCTTCATAGAGCGAAAAGATAGATTAAGCTTCGTCAAAGTTCCAAATGATATCTAACAATCACTTCATAAGAGAAAAAAACTGTTACCACCTGTCAAAGCCACAGTAGAACTGTCTGTCTATCCAAACAGGAGCTACAGCTATCAAATTTCTTGGGAAGAATTACTGCTATGGGGCAATAGAAGAGGAATGGCCATTTGCAGAAGAAAAAGGTATCAGCCATCCATGGAAAGAGAAACTGTTTACCCAAGAAATAAAGGTTTCCAGGACGATAGTTGTGGCAGAGAAATTACATTGATCCTCATGTCAAACACAAGCAATATTAATAAATTCATCATCATGGGGTCCTTTTTCAGTAAGAACAGTGATGTGAACACAAAGTGCCCAGAATATTAAGAGTATCCGGCATCATCTCAGGACTTTGGAAACCAAGAAGCTAAAGTGTTAGAAAATAAGATTGTGAAACTCCTCAAGGAGCTCCTATCAACACATTCTCACTCAGGAGCTCAAGAAGGGCTTTGAACAGAGATCAGAGCTGAAGCTGAGGACAATAAGCCATAGAATAACAGTGTGACCCGAAAGATGCTTCAATGCCAGCATCAGCCTCCAAGATGCCCTGGCTTGTCGCTGTGATGTCCTCTGTGATCCATGCCTCCCTTTCATTCCCGTACCCAGTCAGTCGCCACATCCCACTAATTTTACCTTTAAACCATCTTTCCTGTGCACTTTCTCTCCAAGTGTGCTCCCACCCTGGAGAAGACACAGACAAAGAGATGGGTCTGTGTCTATGAAGATGGGTCCCACTGCCTTCATACTTGCTGTCAGCTGATGCTTAAGTCACCAAAGCCTCTTAGTCTCCACAACCTCCCACCCCATCCATCCTGCGCACTGCAACCAGAAGACTGTTTCCTAGACCCTTCCTACCTTGGATCCTCCTCTGCTTGCGGATAACCAGTGAAACCCTGAGTCCCTGGACTGACTTTTAAAGATTTTCACAGATGGAGTCATCTCAAAGGTCATTGCTTTACCCACTAAACTTCAATTCACCTCTGCTAACTCAGGGTCATCTCTGTCTCCCACAAGGCCACTACACTCACTCCCACCGTAGAGAGCCCTTCACCAGAAATACCTTCTCTGTGTCCATCCCAACCTTACCTACCTTCCAACCCAATTCCTGTCCTGTGTGTTCCGTGAATCTTGCAATTCACACTCCAACTTCTATGTATCTCCTCTGAGCACTACAAATCCTTTGGTGATTACCCTTAGATGTAAATCTGATCATGTTCTTTCTTTACCTAGAATCTAGCAAAACCTCCCCCACCCCCACCCCACTGCCTGGAGAAGGAAAAGGCAACCCACTCCAGTATTCTTGCCTGGGAAATTCCATGGACAGAGGAGCCTGGAGGGCTACAGTCCATGGGGTCACAAAGAGTCCGACGTGACTGAGCATGTACGAATGCCCCATTTCCCACAGCGTAAGTTATAACAGTTTTAGCATGGATTCCAGGTTCTTCTTGAATTGGCTATTGCATATTTTCACAACCTTATTGTCATCCCCCAAATGAACCTCATACAGCTATTTGCTAATCCAAGGAGTCCTTTCTTTCTTCTCTGTGTTTAATATTCCTTCTTCCTAGGTTTCTGGAGAACCTTGCTTCTATAGGAGAGAGAAATGCAATAATAAATTCTCCTCTTTGTGCTCCTACTCTATGTTCAGTTCCGTTCAGTCGCTCAGTGATGTCCAACTCTTTGTGACCCCCATGAATCACAGCACGCCAGGCCTCCCTGTCCATCACCAACTCCCAGAGTTTACTCAAACTCATGCCCATCAAGTCGGTGATGCCATCAAGCCATCTCATCCTCTGTCATCCCCTTCTCCTCTTGCCCCTAATCCCTCCCAGCATCAGGGTCTTTTCCAATGAGTCAACTCTTCGCNTTAGTTCCTCTTCACTTTCTGCCATAAGGGTTGTGTCATCTGCATATCTGAGGTTATTGATATTTCTCCCAGCAATCTTGTGCTTCTTCCAACCCAGCATTTCTCATGATGTACTCTGCATATAAGTTAAATAAGCAGGGTGACAATATACAGCCTTACCATACTTCTTTTATAGCAATTAAAATATGTTTTATAATTGTAGCTTCTATGCCTGTATCTTCTACTAAGAAATACATCTTTGTATTCAAAATTATCTGTTTAAAATTTTTCTTAAAGCTTTATTATTATTAATTGCACTCTGGTTGATAATAATAGTTAGCATTTCAATAGTACCATGTACCAAACACTTCATAGGTGTTCTATACACATTATTTCAATCAATTCTCAGAACATATGTATGATACAGGCATCATTATTATAATTCCTTTTTAACAAATGAGGAAAAAGGAACACAGGTAAACGAATTAACCCATCTAAGATTACACATCAGTGAAGCCAGGATTTCAACCCAAGTAGCCTGACCACTGGAGAAGGAAATGGCAACCTACTCCAGTATTCTTGCCTGAAAAATCCCATGGACAGAGAAGCCTGGTGGGCTATAGTCAACAGGATCTCAAAGAGTCAGACATGACTGAGCAACTAAACCACCACCGCTACCAGCCTGAGCGCAGATCTTATCTTCTAACCACTAGTTTTTACAACTTCTGAGTACATAATACATAAGGGAAAAGTTAAATTTAAATATTCTAGGACCAATCTGAGAGATCACTCAGAACTGTTTAGAGTCCAATATTTCCAGTCTTTATTCCTCAGAGAAGGAATACCTAATAGTTTCTTTTTGGAAAACCACCATTTTCTATTCTGTAGTCTATGCCTTTTCTGTAGTTATTCCTCTGTTTGCTACTCTCTCCCATCCATTTCCGCCTTCTTTCTGCAAATTAAAGATTAGGCTCTTCTCCAAGAACAAATCAACAATATACCTGTGAGCTTTTAGAAAGCAAAGTCAATGATGTCTAAGACGAGTCATCAGAAAAAGAGGAAAATTCAGGTGCTCCGGATCCAGGTTGATAATTGTATTATAATATATAAGAAATAAACAAATGCCACAGAAAACATCAGACTCAGAGATTTTAAAGATCCTGCTTTTTGTAAAGAAAAACTACCCAACCACTAAAAGTCCAAGAGTTCTGAATAAATGGTTAGATCTTTGGACTATTTTAAATAATTTAAGCCATACACAATAATCAAGGGGAAATCTTCCCAGTGGAATCTCCTTTCTCTTGGGTGAAACTTTGTCAATTAAACTATGACTGAGGAAGGGCTTGGAATCTGTTTAGTTTGATGATGTTTCTATAAAACTTTTGTACCCAATAATAAGGTAGTAAGAGAAGAAACTTGTAAACGAATTGCTGATTCACTTCGCTGTTCAGCAGAAACCAGCATAACACTGCAAAGCTTTTCAAAGCCAATAGAACTTTTTATTGTAA